TAATATCTTATCAATTAACAGGTGATTGATACATTATCTTGAATTGAGAGTAATGTTAAAATTAATCAATATCATATTGTTTTAACTTTATTATATAGTTTAGAAGATTAACTTTATTTTTTTAATTCTTGTCATATCTTTTTTATTATTATCTTTGTTATTAAATATATCTTTTACTATTTATAAACTAATTGTACAAAGTTATTAATTATATCTTTATAAGTAATAAATTAATTAAATTAAAAGAATATCTTATGAAATAATCATGCAGTTTTTAGTTAAGTTTGGTTTCAATTAAGCAATTTAAATCAATTTTTATTTTAATCACTTCAAATCTGTGCATACTGTTCTCTGTTTGGATGATTAATTTAATGTAATATCATTTAACATTAAATCTCTATAAATGTTAATTAATATATAAGGAGATCTCAATAAATATACCCTACATTTCCTTAAAATGGAATACTTTTGAAAAAGTTGTATGAATCTTAATTAATCAAAATTAAGAATAAAGCCAAAAAAAAGATATAATTAAAAAAATATGAAGAATAAATTAAAATAATAATTTTTGTAATGTTCTTTATGAATAATAATTATCACTTTTACTTTTACTTAAGGTCTTCTAAAAAGCAACTTCCTTTAGATTTGAATAAAGGTTTCAAATCTTTTCCTTAATGGTTCATAAATTCTCCTTACAATATAAGTGTACCTCTTGCTTCTAATAAAGGATTCTAACAAATCCTAAGTATTGTACGATCTGGTTCAACTAAATAATAATAAATAACAAATACCATTTGGTAATAATGAGCTACTCTAAAGTGGTATTTTTAATTATGCAAGAATATCTTTGTAGTTTTTATCAGAGGATTTAATTTCTTATCCTGTCTTTACATCCCATAGACGGATAGACTAATCATTACTACCAGAAGCTAATGTATTTTTATCAGGAGAGAAACAGACTGACATTACCCAATGCTCATGACCATCTAATTTGGCTTTTTATTATCCTGTTTTGACATCCCATAGACGGATAGACTTATCATCACTACCAGAAGCTAATGTATTTCCATCAGGAGAGAAACAGACTGAGTAGACATTATGAGTATGACCATCTAATTTGGCTTTTTATTATCCTGTTTTGACATCCCATAGACGGATAGACTTATCATCACTACCAGAAGCTAATGTATTTCCATCAGGAGAGAAACAGACTGAGTAGACATTATGAGTATGACCATCTAATTTGGCTTTTTATTATCCTGTTTTGACATCCCATAGACGGATAGACTTATCATCACTACCAGAAGCTAATGTATTTCCATCAGGAGAGAAACAGACTGAGTAGACATTATGAGTATGACCATCTAATTTGGCTTTTTATTATCCTGTTTTGACATCCCATAGACGGATAGACTTATCATCACTACCAGAAGCTAATGTATTTCCATCAGGAGAGAAACAGACTGAGTAGACATTATGAGTATGACCATCTAATTTGGCTTTTTATTATCCTGTTTTGACATCCCATAGACGGATAGACTTATCATCACTACCAGAAGCTAATGTATTTCCATCAGGAGAGAAACAGACTGAGTAGACATTATGAGTATGACCATCTAATTTGGCTTTTTATTATCCTGTTTTGACATCCCATAGACGGATAGACTTATCATCACTACCAGAAGCTAATGTATTTCCATCAGGAGAGAAACAGACTGAGTAGACATTATGAGTATGACCATCTAATTTGGCTTTTTATTATCCTGTTTTGACATCCCATAGACGGATAGACTTATCATCACTACCAGAAGCTAATGTATTTCCATCAGGAGAGAAACAGACTGAGTAGACATTATGAGTATGACCATCTAATTTGGCTTTTTATTATCCTGTTTTGACATCCCATAGACGGATAGACTTATCATCACTACCAGAAGCTAATGTATTTCCATCAGGAGAGAAACAGACTGAGTAGACATTATGAGTATGACCATCTAATTTGGCTTTTTATTATCCTGTTTTGACATCCCATAGACGGATAGACTTATCATCACTACCAGAAGCTAATGTATTTCCATCAGGAGAGAAACAGACTGAGTAGACATTATGAGTATGACCATCTAATTTGGCTTTTTATTATCCTGTTTTGACATCCCATAGACGGATAGACTTATCATCACTACCAGAAGCTAATGTATTTCCATCAGGAGAGAAACAGACTGAGTAGACATTATGAGTATGACCATCTAATTTGGCTTTTTATTATCCTGTTTTGACATCCCATAGACGGATAGACTTATCATCACTACCAGAAGCTAATGTATTTCCATCAGGAGAGAAACAGACTGAGTAGACATTATGAGTATGACCATCTAATTTGGCTTTTTATTATCCTGTTTTGACATCCCATAGACGGATAGACTTATCATCACTACCAGAAGCTAATGTATTTCCATCAGGAGAGAAACAGACTGAGTAGACATTATGAGTATGACCATCTAATTTGGCTTTTTATTATCCTGTTTTGACATCCCATAGACGGATAGACTTATCATCACTACCAGAAGCTAATGTATTTCCATCAGGAGAGAAACAGACTGAGTAGACATTATGAGTATGACCATCTAATTTGGCTTTTTATTATCCTGTTTTGACATCCCATAGACGGATAGACTTATCATCACTACCAGAAGCTAATGTATTTCCATCAGGAGAGAAACAGACTGAGTAGACATTATGAGTATGACCATCTAATTTGGCTTTTTATTATCCTGTTTTGACATCCCATAGACGGATAGACTTATCATCACTACCAGAAGCTAATGTATTTCCATCAGGAGAGAAACAGACTGAGTAGACATTATGAGTATGACCATCTAATTTGGCTTTTTATTATCCTGTTTTGACATCCCATAGACGGATAGACTTATCATCACTACCAGAAGCTAATGTATTTCCATCAGGAGAGAAACAGACTGAGTAGACATTATGAGTATGACCATCTAATTTGGCTTTTTATTATCCTGTTTTGACATCCCATAGACGGATAGACTTATCATCACTACCAGAAGCTAATGTATTTCCATCAGGAGAGAAACAGACTGAGTAGACATTATGAGTATGACCATCTAATTTGGCTTTTTATTATCCTGTTTTGACATCCCATAGACGGATAGACTTATCATCACTACCAGAAGCTAATGTATTTCCATCAGGAGAGAAACAGACTGAGTAGACATTATGAGTATGACCATCTAATTTGGCTTTTTATTATCCTGTTTTGACATCCCATAGACGGATAGACTTATCATCACTACCAGAAGCTAATGTATTTCCATCAGGAGAGAAACAGACTGAGTAGACATTATGAGTATGACCATCTAATTTGGCTTTTTATTATCCTGTTTTGACATCCCATAGACGGATAGACTTATCATCACTACCAGAAGCTAATGTATTTCCATCAGGAGAGAAACAGACTGAGTAGACATTATGAGTATGACCATCTAATTTGGCTTTTTATTATCCTGTTTTGACATCCCATAGACGGATAGACTTATCATCACTACCAGAAGCTAATGTATTTCCATCAGGAGAGAAACAGACTGAGTAGACATTATGAGTATGACCATCTAATTTGGCTTTTTATTATCCTGTTTTGACATCCCATAGACGGATAGACTTATCATCACTACCAGAAGCTAATGTATTTCCATCAGGAGAGAAACAGACTGAGTAGACATTATGAGTATGACCATCTAATTTGGCTTTTTATTATCCTGTTTTGACATCCCATAGACGGATAGACTTATCATCACTACCAGAAGCTAATGTATTTCCATCAGGAGAGAAACAGACTGAGTAGACATTATGAGTATGACCATCTAATTTGGCTTTTTATTATCCTGTTTTGACATCCCATAGACGGATAGACTTATCATCACTACCAGAAGCTAATGTATTTCCATCAGGAGAGAAACAGACTGAGTAGACATTATGAGTATGACCATCTAATTTGGCTTTTTATTATCCTGTTTTGACATCCCATAGACGGATAGACTTATCATCACTACCAGAAGCTAATGTATTTCCATCAGGAGAGAAACAGACTGAGTAGACATTATGAGTATGACCATCTAATTTGGCTTTTTATTATCCTGTTTTGACATCCCATAGACGGATAGACTTATCATCACTACCAGAAGCTAATGTATTTCCATCAGGAGAGAAACAGACTGAGTAGACATTATGAGTATGACCATCTAATTTGGCTTTTTATTATCCTGTTTTGACATCCCATAGACGGATAGACTTATCATCACTACCAGAAGCTAATGTATTTCCATCAGGAGAGAAACAGACTGAGTAGACATTATGAGTATGACCATCTAATTTGGCTTTTTATTATCCTGTTTTGACATCCCATAGACGGATAGACTTATCATCACTACCAGAAGCTAATGTATTTCCATCAGGAGAGAAACAGACTGAGTAGACATTATGAGTATGACCATCTAATTTGGCTTTTTATTATCCTGTTTTGACATCCCATAGACGGATAGACTTATCATCACTACCAGAAGCTAATGTATTTCCATCAGGAGAGAAACAGACTGAGTAGACATTATGAGTATGACCATCTAATTTGGCTTTTTATTATCCTGTTTTGACATCCCATAGACGGATAGAGTTATCACAAACTCCAAAAAGATATCCACTGCCAGAAGCTAATGTATTTCCATCAGGAGAGAAACAGACCGAGTTAATACAATTACTATGACCATCCAACTTATTCAATTCATGGACTTTAATGTTCTTCCATTTGCAATTGAATAGTTAAGCACCATTCAAATTCAATCCGCTGATATCTACATTATTAAATTCAGATCCACTCAAGTTACATCTAACAAAGTTACCACCAATTAATGATGTATTCATAATTTTGATATCTTCAAAGGATTGATTCCTTATATCAACCTTCATGGCCACTAATAAACTAAGTCCATTTGATCCTGATTGAATGAATTTTCCATCTATGCTTGTTAGTCGTACTAAAAATTTGATGAAATCTGTGATCCCTTAGTTATCCTTCACCCTCTTGATCAGATCCGCTCTTTCCTTTTCATTAGTCTCAGAAGAATAGTCATCCTTACTAAATTTATGTTCCTAAATATTTCTCAAAACATTTGTGATTTTCTTTACTTACTTCTTGATCTCCCTTATATTCTTTTACTTGTAGTTTAAAGATTCATAAAACTGATGATTGTTTGTCTTCGACAGGAATCCAATAATGTCTGAAACTTTCTCTTTTCTAAGTATATCAAGAATCTTCTAATAGAGAGATTCATCTATATACTGGATATAGGTTAGCATCTCATAAAGATCTTCCTTCATTTAATAAACTTCTTCTTCATCTCCCCTAGAGATAATATTTATAATACTTACTTAATTAATGATTGAATCTATTGGATTCCTTAGTTAGACTTCTCAATAAAAGCCTTTATATGTTGGTCCCACCAGCTCTTGGTCTTATCTAACTCCTTCATATAAGAATTCTACGAAGTATTCCAATCTATTAAAGTTGTTCCTTCTACAACGTTGACTAATTTTTCTATATCAGTGTAGGAGGATTCAGCTAGATTCGTATTTTCCTTGATGAGATTTAAGTAAGATTGGTTTTCCTTATCAATCCAATCGTATACTTATTAGATTGATTGTGACAACTCCTCCCATATTTTCTTCATCATTTATTCGGTTTGAGAGATTAAGGATTTGAAGGCCATTCTCTACTTTGTTAATTCTGAGTTATCATCAAGTTTGGAGTCTTAAATAATTTATTGTCCAAGGAGGTTGTTATAGAGAAGATAAATTTTATTAAGATTAATTATTTATGTTAATCAAATACCAATAATTATTTCCTTTTTAATTCTACAATTTAGATGCAATTTTTTAATTTAATTGTAAAATATAACCAGGTGATGAGTTTTTAAACAATTAAGGGATATTATTTTTGTATAGATATTAATTAATTTTGTAAAAATCATAACAGTGATTATACATTAAGTAACAACTGTTTATTATTTGATGTATGTAAAATTTCATGTTGAGCTCAAGTTAATCAATAATTAAGATTCATATATAATACTGTTAGAGAAGATATAATAGTCTTCTTAAATCTTAATAATTACAAAAATATACTACTTTTTTAATATGTTTTCAAAGTTTTATAATATCTTATCAATTAACAGCCGATTGATACATTATCTTGAGTAGAAAGTAGTGTTAAAATTAAACAATATAATATTGTTATAACTTTGTTATATAGTTTAGAAGATTAACTTTAATTTTTTTAATTCTTGTCATATCTTTTTTATTATTATCTTTGTTATTAAATATATCTTTTACTATTTATAAAAACTAATTTTACAAAATTATTAATTATATCTATTAAGACTTATGTTTATAAATAGTAATAAATTAAATAAATTATCAGAATATCTTATGAAATAATCATGCAGTTTT